TCCACCACCACCCTCTGAGTGCGACCCCTCAGCCAATCTGTTTTAGTTTGGCCCTTGAAAATTTTCACCTCACCCTGACTTGTTTTTCCTTAGCATGTCTAAACACAGGCAGCTGTCAAAGTCATAAATGGTAATTGAGGGGACTTGGCACGTTGTACATCTGCGTTTTAGAAAGGGGCTTCTTAAGGATGAGATTTGCTTTTTATTTTTTCTTCTTTTAAGTAAGAAAGAGAAAAATAATGTAATATTTTTTCCAGATTTTAACAGACAACTCTTCCGCAGAACAGACCCTAAATAAAATATTTGATCTCTGTGTTGTATGTGGAGACAAGGCATCAGGTAACTTCTTCTACATTGACACTTTTTGGAAGCAGTTTAAGGTTATTCTTTAGAGACTGCATGTTTATATACATAGGTATATTCTTTTCTCCATTAGAATTCTTTAATACATAATTTGATTGAATTGTCCTTTCATATAAAAACATACCAAGCATAGCTAAAGCTGTCCAGAAATGAGAGTTTTTAACTGTAGCTTTAATAAATTAGCATTTGTTCAAACTTTTGATTTAAATTTATTTTCACATGTATTTGTATGAAAGCCTTTTCATGTTCACGTGACATACTGGGCCACAATCAAGTTAATAAGTTGACAAGTCATTCAGGCACCTACATTTAAAAAAAAAAAGTTGTAAAATGAACTGTTTCATTTTTACTGTTATCTGAAAGACTTTAAAATTTAAAAGAAAAAGTATCAGTGAAAAAATGTTGTTGGTTACTCATAATGTGTAACAGGTAAGGAAGACTTTATAAAGTGTTCTTACAAGTTATTTGATCTAGGTAGTTTGATTCATGTTTCTTGAAATAGCTGAAGTGATAAGAACCATCAGGAGAATAAAATGTGCATATGAACTGTTAAGATAAACAGGGAAAAACAAGAAGTGCTCTGCTCAGTGTTATCAGAGAGCTAAAAATATGGACAAGCAGCATGAAAAAAGCCAATGTCAAGAATGCAGTGGTGGCTGAGGAGTCCATGGAGAGCTCTGGTGTCCATCCTGACGTTTTGCCAGCTCTGTCATAACCAAAGTCTGCCAGAATTTGAACCCAGTTAGAACAGGAAAATAGAATCTGCCACTTACACAGAGCTGCAATCTTTGCTTCTCCAGCATTGTTTGGCAAACTTTCATCCTGTCTGTGCACACTCTGCATGAAAGGACATGTGTGTGGGGGACACACATGTCTTAGCTGAGTGTTTATATATTAAAAAAAAAAGGCTAGATTTTAGCTCATAGGGAAGTAATTTGTCCCATCCAACAGTCTTTATGAAGTCTCTATGATGGACCTTAGTTTGTACATCAGACCTTAGCTGTACCTTCATTGGCACTTTCCATTAAAGTTTCCATATCTGAGGGAGGCTGAAAGAGAATGGATAAGATGCGAACATAGAGGTGACAAATATTAAGGGGCTGCTAAAGTGTTTCTCCTGGAAAGGAAAGGAAGAGTTGGAGTAAAATACTTGGACTTGGGCTAGTAAAACAGTTTCATCAAAAAAATGATGGTTTGTTGAGCCTAAAGCTTTCATTCAAAACATAAGTTTGACAGACTTTTGACAAACTTTTGCTAAATGCCTGGATTCCCAGCTGGTTGACCCCGCATCCAAGGAACCTTGCGACCGTCTTGGACTGCTCAGTGAAACTGGCAGTCTTGTCTGACATTTATACTGAAATTTACAAGAGCACCAATTTTTTGGAAAGCAGCTGCATGATCCAAATGGCTACTGGCTTGCCAAGTGTTTGAAACTAGCTTTTATCAATACCCTGCAAACTGGAAAGCCAGATTGTGTGGGTTTTTTGTTTTTTTTTT